GCGTACAGACTAGATAACAAAATCTGATAAAGAAACGTTGTACATAGAAACTAGTTTTAACAAGGTCAGTTAACATTGTAGGTGCCCAATCTCAGTGCGCGCTCACGTTCAGCTCCGCCCCATTATACGATTTTCATAACATACGTTGTTCAGACTAGAACAAGATGCTGATTCTCTATTGAGTTTTTGTTCGCAAGAGATGCCCAAACAGACGTTTCACCAAACCACTTTTTGTTTTACGATGGTTTTTAAGCACGTTCAGACTATGTCAATTTAAAATGACTTATAAACAATGTACATGTAGCTACCGGTATACGTTTCTAGTATTGCTATACAATGAATTTCGCTAGTCTGAACACCAAGTAACTCCTTTGATGATGATGCTACCAGCCAAAGGCAATCATTGAGGACAATTGTCTACTGAGAGAGATCAAGGCTCCGGGTGAGGGATGCTGGGATACTTGTTGAGGACGAGACGTCTGTCCACTGGCTAACAACATGTCTAGAGTGATTTCAAGAGAATTCTTCCCCCATCTCAATGAATTAAATGAGTCCGAGTATCATAGACTACATGTAGTGTCATTATTACTGTCATAAAATAAATGTACATGTACACATGTACATGAATGATGATGGCAATGAAATGATAGTCTACTTGCTCCAGACTCAATGTGGGGGTTAATTGGCTGGCTCAATGCATACTGTTAGCACATCAGATAACAATAATTGCATAATACTTCGCATCTAATAACTACCGTGTTTAATCTGCTGGTACAATGTAATCCTGTTTAAATGATTTTCTTAAAATTTCAATTCAATTCAAGTCAATAGGCGAATTATGATTCCACAATTTTATCTGATGAATAAAAACGGCCATGCAAATCTGGAAAAAAAGTGCAATGCTGTGACATCAAAATCAAGTCATGTGTTCATGCAGTTCATGAACAAGCTGTCTGTGTTTAATTTTAAAGACTTCAACAATGCGGAAAGTCCCTTTTGTAGGCTGCTTGCATGTTTTCATTTATTGTATGCCTTCATGTTCCCTGACCTTTTCGATAAGGGTTGAAATGTCGTGCACAGCTCTTGCACAACCCAACAGAGTTTGACGGAAATCGGTGTCGTCTCTCGACAACCCTTCAATTCATTATTCCATTTCCTTCATCTGCTCAGCTCCTAGCTAACTTCCAACCATTATTGGGGGAGCCTAACTTTTCAGGTTTGATTACGGGCACAGAAGGAGAGAAGGATGTCCACTCGGGGAGCACTGTTAGGAGTTTTGTTCTCATCACAGTGCAGTAGAGTATATTTATATAGTAGCTGCGCTATATTAAAGTTAATTTAATCATTACCATTTTTAAGAATGCATGGAATACTCCCGCAGTATCAGGTATAGGGCCTCGTGTTTTAAATGATGCCCAGGTCATTAGCCTGCATGGGCCTTCCACAAGATAATTTGGAAATGTTTTATTGTTGCATCATAAAAATGTTTGGGTCTATGGGAGACCCCCCCCCCCCCCCCCCACCTCCCTACCACCCTCTGCCTCTTATGGACAAGTTACTAGATAAAGGGTCATTTTAGCTGTTTATAAAATGCATGTTGGGTCAAAACAATTTCCTAATGAAAGACTCAATAAAATCAAAACTTGAAGAGTTCATCAAAGATTTCCAAAAATTGAAATAATAAATGAACCAAAATGAAAATAAAGCAACTCAAACGGCTTACCGGTAGCTGTTCATCATCGAACTCATGGAAGAAAACAAATTGGCCAACAATGCATGTAAAAAAAATTGCACAATTACATACTATTATTTTAGTACACATTCACAGATATGCAAAGGTCAAAGCCTTCCGTTCATAAACTCAACAGCAGTTTTATATGCCTTGCAGGAGGAATTCTGAATAATAATAAGATTTTCTTCATTAATTGCATGTTTGGACATATGCAAATGCCAACGGCCTTCAAACTCATCTCCTTACAAAATTGTGCCAGGGTAATAACTCGATAGAAATTTCATTAATCGCTTTCTCTCTTTCTCTCTCTCTCTCTCTCTCTCTATGTCTCTAGCTCTTAAATCATCACTGTCTTGCCTTCCTCTAATCTCTTTCTTTCTTTCTTTCTTTCTTTCTTTCTTTCTTTCGTTCTCTCTCTCTCTCTCTCTCTCTCTACAGGGGTGATAGTGAGCACTAAAAAAAATAGGTTTTTTGTTTTCCCCTCAAACACGCCCCCTTGAGTAAAAAAAAAAAGAAAAAAAAAAGAGGATTCGCGGGGACAAAATGGCATCTAACAACATTCCCCCCTTTTGAGTAAGAAAATTTGGAAAAAATAGGGAAAATTTGAAAAAAATAGGGCAAAATAGGGAAGAATAGAGAAAATAAGAGGGAAATCTGGAAAATCAGGATAAAATATGGAGGAAGAAAAAAATATTGGTAAAAATCTGGATTTTTTTTTTTTTTTTTTTATAAATCGGGAAGAAAAGAAAAAATCGGGGAAAAATAAAGAAAATCGGGAAACCGATTTAAATTGGGTTTTTATCAGGCCTGCTCTCTAGCTCTATAGCTCTCTCATTCATCACTGTCTTGCCTTCCTCTAATCTCTCTCTCTATCTCTCTCTTTCTATCTCTCTTTCTATCTCTCTCTCTCTTTCTCCCTCTATCTCTTTCTCTCTCATTCATCCCATCTGTTTCGCTCATTTCATCTCCGTCTTGCCTTCCTCTCTCTCTCTCTCTCTTGTTCCCGATACTTTCTCCATGTATCCTTAATACCATTCATGAATGTGAATATCTAGGCCACATACACATGGTACAGAGCAATAACATTTTCTAAAGCCCGGGTTAGCTACCCAGAAAACTGGGCCAATGGCACTTTGAAAAGGTCACGCAAACATGAAAGCCTCAGTCAAAGTGAGCCAATTTGGGGGCGTCACGGCCTCAAATGACTGAAATAACAATTTGCGGGTTAAAATACATGAGAAACAGTCTAGATTCTTTGGCTACAGATTAGATGAGCTGCTCCCCTATGAGAGGTTTATAATCTCTCAATGCGATGGGGGCAAGAATGCTTTGACATGACCGAAACTTGGACCCTTTGATCTAGATGGACAGCTTACATGAAGCATGTAGGCCTGCATATAAATCTTGAAAATCAATATAAAAATGCATCAAATATTATAGTGATTTTTTAAAAAAGAACCCCAAAAAATGTGCCAATTAATGCAATTGAAAATCTGCAATATAAATGGATCCACATGAAGAATTTAATTAAAATTTAATGATCTGATAACAACATTATATAAATACTTCCTATTCTTAATTCAACACCAGTTTCCTACGCCTTGCCGTGCTGTGATGCAAGCAAACAGTAACATGGAAATGGAAAAAAAAGAGTTGTGACCATACATGATGTACAGGTACATGTACAGTACCTGTACATGTACATGTCATGGAATTATAGTACTTACTCAATGCCATATTTTCAAGGTATACAAAGAGAAATTAGAGAATCCAGAAATTTTTCACCACCACACAAAGAGAATGAAAAAGTTTAAACATCAAGACTTCCACAGCACAATCCAAGACAATAACTTTTACATAAATATGTTGGCCTTCATGTAAATCCTTCACTGCCTTTATGCTATTAATCTTCAAGAACACTGTTTTAATATCACTATCAATCCAAGCCCGAGTTAACCAAGACTCAGAAACAGGCCCAATGGGTGCTTAACCAATTGTTGACTGGTTTTGAGTGGACCCTGTATTAATAAGTCTCTGGGAATGGGAGATTTCGATAGTTAACAGGTTGACAGGTTGACTTACAAACAGACCTGTGATTAGAATCGTCAGACAAACCTTAATCTGAACCTAATCAAAGCAGAGACAATTCTTCTCCCTTGATGACTAAAAAATCTACCACATTTAGACAGATAATTCCATACACTTCCATGTTGAACTTTAATATTTGACAATGCTTTGTAATTTACAAGGAAGATGACACATTAGTTGGCAAACACACATGTAAAGGTTATGACAGAGGAAATCAGGTTAGGAGTCAGGACCTGTAGGTGCAAGACCAAACGTCTTCCAAAGGTCTTCCCTAGGACAAAAAAGAGCAACGTAACAACTGTCTACGTGTACATGTACATGTTGTAAGTAGTCCAAGCTCGAGAGTAAAATAGTTATTTATCATTGTAAACTTGCAGGAATCTGCACAATTTGGGAAAATGTCTTGGGCTGGATTTTTTCATTAATTGTGATTGGAAATGGAGGTCCTCGAGTCTTCAGCAAATTCCATAAAAATTCTTCTGAAAATTCCATACAAGCATTCTACTCTTAAAATGTAAGAACCAAAACATGTGGGGTAAGACTTCAATTAAAAGTTCTAAAACAACAACACAGTTTCCTTTTCCAGAGTTGGGAAATAGATTGTACATCAAGGCCACTTCTGAGTACTAAAATAGGCACAAAAACTTGGTCCTTATCATTTCAGTACAGATAAATGCCCGATTGCTCATATACATGTATGCAGCAAATATTTGGCCTTGCATGAACTGAACCAAATCTGAACCTACATGTACGCTCGTTTAGCAAGTGCATCATTCATCGCTCATCAACGGAACATGCACTATAAATTAACACTTGGCTCAGAGTCAATTAGGGCTTGTTCGTTCATCAATCCTTCTTCCTGTCTGACCTACTAATTGGTGATAATTAATAATGATCCAATCTCTGCTACAGGTGGAAATGGATTAGCTAAAGATGAATGGTGTCTCCCTGCCAGTGAGGGGGGGGGGGATCACCCAGAACAGGATGTGGCTTACCAGAATGTGATAACTGGATTAATTAAGCCTATAGGGATTAACAATGGATGTGTGGCTTCTTGAAACAGTAGGATGATTCATGTACAGTGTAACATGTACAGGTATATATAAAGGCAGCTCAAAGAAGACAAGTGGTCTTTATGAGGAGTTGGTCTTTGTGTACAGGTTCACTTTATAGTACATCAATGAGAAACAGAAAATGTGTTTTTTATAAACAAGGGGTCTTTCTATACAGATGGTCGCTAAGGCAGCTTTCATTGTACTAGCACTGAAATTTTGCTCATGACAACAGTTTTCAAGACTTTTAGAAAGACAAAATTAAAAGAATGTTTTTTCATCTGCAATGTGCATACAGGAGACTTCTACTGATTTATGAATTGCTTTACAGTCAAAATTACATGCTGAAATTGATTTATGAATTGCTTTACAGTCAAAATTACATGCTGAAATTGTTGCCAAATTTAAAGCTAAGTGCTTATATAGAGAGAGACATATTATTTGTATTTATTAATTGATGCAGATTTTAATAATCATTAATAGAGGAAAGTACTTATAGAGCGAATAATTCGTAGAATTGTCCATGCACTTTTGTGTAACAAAATTAACAGAAATTGTATCAGAACATAGAATACATGTAAGAGCAATTTAACCAGAACAAAATATCATGATGAAATCAATAATTACTTACACATGGAATTAGCATAATTTAATAATATATGCATGCATGCTCCTTATGAAATGTCACATGGATATTAGTCAACATCAATTAGAAAAGACTTACCTGCAAATCGTCAGCAGAAGAAAGACAGGCACATGTAAGAAAGAGAAGAAAAGAAATGGGAAATGTTTAAATAAAGGTAAATATATACATAAAATACATACACATGTAAATGTATACTTGTTAAGACATTCATATTTAAAGTTGCAAACTTGTTTAAAATACTCTTTTGTTACTCAAACAAGTTTTAAGAATACATAATTTGCAATATGTTTTATAGGGAAAGCGCTAATATCTCACTATTCTGGAGCACTTTTTATGCTTAATATTCCATTGATCAATATCACTGTTTTACTGCTCAGTGCTCAGCATTAGTGGAATATAATAGATTGAAATCATCAAAACGTACATGCATTTAGGCATATGGGACTACATGTAGCAAATGTTCTTTTATACACGGACTGTTACAAAGTCAAGCAATGTACATATTAGAAACATTTAAGACAAGCTACATGTATGCATTGAGTCCAGGGAAGAATGACCATTGACTGCACCTATACAATGTATGTAAACAAGAGTGTACAGAGATTGATGTACATGTACACTCTAACAATCAGGCCACTAGACCAACACATACATGTACATGTAGGCCTACAATGTATGTGGGACTAATCGATGTACATGTACACTCAAGAGCTCCACTGTTCCCTATTATTAAAACGTACACACACACATACATGTAGCCCTACATGTATAACACTTGGGTGAGTATAAAGGGCTAGCTATTCATAAGATCTATCAATGGGCAAAGTATGTGTTTCTGGTTACTCAACAATGCCAGGGACAACAGACCACTTCTGGACAATGCCATGGTCAGTGGAAAGGGTCAGTCCTGGAAGGTCAAACTGACCAGGTCTAGGGTTCGAAAAATATTGGATCAATTACATGAACATGTACATGTGCATCAAATGTAACATTGCCACACACTGTGCACACATACATGTACAGTACATGTATGTACATGTACATCTAAATGTATGTGTACTCTGCATGGACCATGGTAGGCCTATACTAGAAATGACAGGGCCTATACACATCACATGTATTCTCCATGTTCACTTCGGCATGGAACATGATGTATATGTAGGCCTACCCCACCATGCACTTTGTAACATGAACATGTACATTGTACATGTATGTGAAAACTCAATAAAATTGAACTCAAATGTACTCTGGGAGCGATAGTTCAGTGTAGCAGTAAAGAAAAAAAATGTAAACATAAGAACTAAAAGTACATGTACATCTGAACAACATGTACAAATCATTCTGTTTTCAAGTCTTCAGCAAATAAAATTGTAAAATACATACATTTACAAGATAGTTCAGGTAGAAAAAAATAAAACAAAATCCTCTGTACAGTATGTCAATATCTCTGTAACTGTAAGTAAATGTAGGTCTCGATCTACGTACCATTAACATACAAAGAGACAACAAATGCCACTAGCACATTTAATTTCTGAAACTCATCAAATTCAACACCCCCAGCATTTTGTCTAGCTCTTGATGACTTGGACCTAAATGTATAGTAAACAGTGATGTATGCCTACAATATGAGTTACAATGAGTTTTCCCAGTTTAGCTGTATGATAGCTGCCATAGGGATTATCTCTACAAGTAACAAGTAACAACAGACAAGATTTTGCATATCAATATGAGTTACAACAGACAAGATTTTGAATTTCAATATGAGTTACAACAGACAAGATTTTGCATTTCAATATGAGTTACAACAGACAAGATTTTGCATTTCAATATGAGTTACAACAGACAAGATTTTGCATTTCAATATGAGTTACAAACAGACAAGATTTTGCATTTCAATATGAGTTACAAACAGACAAGATTTTGCATTTCAATAGAATTAAAACAGACAAGTTTTTGCATCTCAATAGAATTAAAACAGACAAGTTTTTGCATTTCAATATGAGTTTAATACAACAGACAAGTTTTGCATCTCAATAGTTTTTACATTTTTTCCAGAAGCAATACTACATGTATACTGACAACTTTTATAAGATCGACCCTTTGCCAGAGAATCCTAGAATTCTTGATAGCTCATTTTAATTGAATAAAGAAAGCGCATTCCTGTTATATAAATTTACACATTAGTTAATTATAATGAGAAAGAGATTTTGACAGGAGGGCATCTGAGTGTCCAAAAGACATCCATTCTCGAGAAAGATACTTTTTCATTTTCAAAGCACATTTTAATAAATGACCCTTATTTGTGACCATGGACCTAACCCTAGTTTTTCAATTAGGAAACCAGTTTTCATATTACTTGGCTAAAAGCCTGTCCACAACTAAACCTCTTGATTGTTTTTCTGTAATTCTTAAAACTAGTCCTGCACCGTCTTTGCTTCAAACTTTGGAAGAAAAAAAACATGAAGAAAGAAAAAAAAATTGCTTCTGAGCTCTCAATTCCAGACTCAATATGCCAGACATACATGTATAAGTACGTCAACATACATTAGGGTAAACCATTTTGCAAACCGATGAATAATCAATCAACTTGATGAGATGAGTTAATTTTCTGTGTTATTTTACAAATATTGCAACCTTGCCACTTTGATTTGTACAGTGCAGCACTAATAATTCATACATTACCGTGTATGAATGAAAGTAATCAAGTTCGATGGTAGATAAACGTGTGTAAACCAGTGCTATAATGCATGTACATGTATAGGCTACATAATGTAACATTGTACACCCTACATAATAGTTCAGGGTAAATTCATGTATTCTTTCAAGGTGGTGTATTAGGTTTTTTGAGAATTTTTCATTTACTGTAACTTTGAAAACAAAATTCGCAAATGAAAGAAGTAAAACTCAGTATACACACTCGCACACTTTACTGACTTGCGAACCTGTATTCTACATTTTGTACATCATACATGTACTACAATGTATGTGTACATGTATGCATATTATTTATTGTGTGAATGTTAAAGTCGTAGCACACAATATGTGTGAATTAGCTTCCTAAATAACCTGCCGTCTCTATCATCACTCGTTATTGCACCCCCAAATCAGATTCACGACCCAGAAATTTTTCTAATGAAAATACAGCGATTATCACTCCTAACTTTGATCATGAAACTAGGTCAAATGAAATAGCACCCTTTGGCAGTTTGGTGTTGAATTAGTTTGAAATCTCACCATCTTTGCCTCGATCGCACCCCTGAAAGCTCATCAATATTATCAGATCTGACAAGTTTGATTTGCTTTACAGGACGGCCTCCATTTGGGCTAAACAAATCCACTCTGATGCCCTAGATTGCATGCAAGCATTGTGCATAGCAAACTAACTTGTATATGTATACTGTACAATTGTACATGTAGAAAATACAGGCAATACACAGTATTTTCTTATTGCATCATTTACATGTACTGTACATTCTATAGTGTACAATAGGAAATTCCATGGTTACAAATGCTACATGAACATGTACTCTGCACAACATGAGATATGATATGTATTATACTGTAGACTATTTATCGGCATAAAGAATTTTTAATTGCTAAAAGAGTATAAAAAAGACTAACAACAATCTCACTGTGAGTGCTTTTGTACAAGATCTTTATTTCACAAAAGACCTGAAGGAAACAGCCTCTTTTGACTATTGTTATTAAAAGGCAAAGCCCAAAGAAAAGCAACTCTTGTATTGAATGCACATTGCATTCTACATGTTTTATTGCAAAGGCAAGACGGCAGACTCCAGATAAAAGAAACCCAGACACTACCATAAAACACTTTCATTGAGGTATGATAATGCAATATTAACAATTTATTATCTAATAATGAATATACTATGATGTAGCAGACAATTCTGGAAGCAATTAAAACCTGTAAGAAGTGATAATTACATTCTTGTTATGATTAAACACAGACACACGTACTGTGAAAAGTACTTGACTTCATATAATTTTTAGGTTGACATTTAGGTTACCGGTAAAGATAAATTTGAGTTCTGGTCATGCGATTGCTTTGTGAAAAAAGCGATGTACAGTGTACAGGTATACAAGATAATTGATCAGAAAAGTTGATCATGTAGCATACATGTAAGTATTGGTGTGTACTGCAAGGTTCTGAAATCATCAAAATGATAAGAAATTTGGCCCAGTCTTGGTAAAAGTAACAAGCACTGTACACAGAACGATGTATATATGGGACTACACAAACATGTGGCATAAAAATGTGGTCCTCATTTTTAAGCTGTAACATAACATGTCATATTTAGAATATTAAGGCATTTTTGAAGAGCCATGCTTTTCAGGGAACATTTTTTTCTGATTATCTTCCACACTTGCATTTAATAACAATGAAAACGCTCACAAATTATTTTTCACCTCTTTCTAGAACTCAACCTTCTCTTTAAGGTGCTTTATTACAGGCCCTGAATGGGTAAATCATTCTCCCATGACATCACAGTTGCCATTATCATTACGTTATCATAGCCATTAGTTGTGACAATTTTAATGAGGATAACATCACAGAGAGGTGACAGAGCAGAAAGATTCAGCATCAATCTGTCCTCCAATGAAATTTAATGCTATCTGCGTTCTTCAGTTGAAATTAAAGAATCACATTGTAGCCTACACTTATACGTACAGGTATACATGGAGGCCCAAATACTTTAATGTTCTTTAAACATTAATCATAATTCATAACTGAGATGTACAGTATACAATTTAGCAATGTTAATGCAATAATGAAATATATCTGCAACATTAATAACAAATAATAAGCAATTTAAAATGGCCATGGAAATCTCTGGGCAGAGTATCCATTTTTAATGCATTTTCATGAACTTATTGTATTTCAAAATTGATAAAAAGTGATAGAACTTGATGTATGATTCACATGCGCTGGATTTAAATCTCTAGATTAAAAGGTTTTGTATAAGTTGTTGAAATTGTGCATCACATACTTGTATATCTATAGAAGGCTAGGAAAATAATACACAGTACTCCCAGAATGAAATTCAATTTGATTCAATCAT